TTGCTTGTTTTGATTCCTTGATTTTATAAACTCATTCGTTGTTACCAAGTCAGTCCATAGGGTTCGCAATTTTTTAGCTAAAAGTTTGCTTTAAATATGTAATCAGATAGGTACCAAAAGCTGGTTCATTAAAAAATAATTGTTGCTAATTCCATTGGCTGGCTTATTTTATACAGAACTTTTAAATGAACAAATGCTGCAAAACATTGCAAAATGAGCGAAGGTGGCATAATTTTTGGTCTTGACATAGTATTAGCAAAGCCTTAACTTTCTCTGCATAACAAAAGTGAAAAAATGCAAAGTTCAACTGGTTCGGTGACCAGTGCAGTTCACCACTTAGTCTTCGCAACTCTATGGTCATTTGCTTCTGAAATTATTTCATGAGGTCAGACTTGGAAACCAATTTTCATTTGAGTGTCGTTTTAATACTCATATGTTATTTAAATTGAAATGTAGTCCTTGTGGATGATAATTCAGTTAAAGCCTTATAATTTGAACTTTTGGGAATTTAAATACCTTAAAAATACAAATATGTTACATGCTAATTCTAAAGTATGAATGAGTATTAGTTCTGATGACTGCGTAATACCATATGGTAGATTTGTATGCTTCTGGCATTTCGTTTAACAAACTAATGAATTTATTATGTTAATATCATTTAAAATTAAAAAATGTTAAAAATTTCAACAAACGACCATGTCTGTCTACATTTTCATTAATTGCGTAAAGTGTAGAGTAATGAGCGATATACTCACGTGATGATGCATATTTTAGTAACTTAATATTTTGTTACCTCTGTGGAAATTGGAAATATCTTTAAAAGAATTTAAATATCTCAACATGTGATATGCAAATCCTAAAGTATGAATGAATATTATTTGTTTCTTCATACTTTATAAAGTGTCTTCTTATTCGTGCTCACAGTAAAAATGGAACTTGGGAATTTCTGTGATTGGAAAGGATTCACTCAAGTACAGGCTGATTCCAAGCTTTAATAAAATAGATTTTTATTATCTGTCCGTGCAGTTCTGCGAGATAAATGTTTGCAGAATATTAAAAGTATCCAAATTTTGCAAGCATAAACTTTTAAGACTCGCGCAGAATATTCTTTTTTAATCACAGAAAATCAACAATAATTCATGAAAATTTAAATGCCAGAGCGTTTTAGTAATGGAAGTAAAAAGTCTGAAGAATGTTTGAGATTAATGGAAGGTAATGTGATTGTGAGAAACGCTAACTGACATTGAACGGAGGAATGTAAGCAGGAGATGGTTGTAAGATTTGCAGTTGTGGCTTAGAGACGAATGATTTTTATACAAACAACAAAAAGTGTGTATTTTGACTGAAAGACAGGTATAAATTAGCTAAAGACTGCTAGCATTTCTTGTGACAGACTTTTTGGCATCTGACCCTGAAGGCTGTGAGTATTTTTTATCGAAGAACTACTGCAAATAGTGTGATTCTAATGAATTCACATCTGATTAGCTTATTTTCATTTCAGAGAGATTTCTCGAGTATACATTTTAAGACTTCAGAGCAATAGTTATTGCCTGGTAAACTTCAGTACTTGAACTCTGATCTCAGTAGCACACGTCAGTTGTTTGTAAAAAATGAATACTTATCTTTATTCTCAATATCTTCGTTCATTTTTATCTTAATTTTTTTTCCGGCTCAAGTTTTGCCGCTAAGTTATTATTAAAAATTTTTATTCTTTATCTCCTAAAAATTTGCCTGAAATGCTTTTCAGAATTATGTAAGTTCACTGACATGCTCTTATGTACCATAATCCTTCTTCAGTAGTGGAACCTTTGGAAGCAACTTCAAACTAAGGCTATCATCGTTTTTCATGAGTTTCAGTAGCGATTTAGTTGGTGATCTTACTGGCCATCCATAGAACTAACAACTGTTTGCTTCTAGCAGTTGCTTTCAGGAGCACTTTATCATGACTGTGTAACGTAGCAGTATTTTTTTGCAACAATCGTTTCGCTCGTCACCTGAGGTAGTCAGCAGCAACTTTTACTGTTCAACTCCTCAACTCAGTAAGTGATGTGTACAAAAAGTACTTTGATTATGAATTATTGAAAATTCAGAACTAGCTGAAGTAATATGAAGAGACTATTGTGTTGAATTATGTCTTTGCAAATGATGTAAGACACTGAATCTTATTTTGATTGAAACTTCAATTCTTGCTTATCGCTGCTGAACTCGCATCAGTCATCAACTTATTTTTTTGAATGATATTATTATTTATTCACTTATTTATTTTTTTAATTTATTTGCTTATTCATTTTACGCGCAGATCTCAAAAGATAATGCTTGAATCACTTACTAATTACACTTAAAGATATTATTGACTTGGATCGTCTGAGAAATTTTTGTCGTAATAATCATTTTCATTTAATTTCAGAATAACTGTGCGTTTGTCAACCTGACGTAACCATCCATAAATTGTTACGCTACTCATTCAAGCTAGTTTCATTCTTATGTACTAGCTAAAAATGGATAAACAGCTTTGGATTTAGCATTTAGCAAGCGCTCAAAGGGATTTTCGCTAACTTCGTAAATATACTCAAACTAGCTATTTCGAAGGTAGCTTAGCCATTTCGAGACAAAATTTTTCAAACATGCAAAAATAAAATTAAAATGCAACGTCATTTGAAAGAATACGCTGTAGACTGAAAGCTTATAATCTCACTTGCATATATGTTTTATTTGTATTCGTTGCTAAGCACTTTAAATTATAACTGCAGAAAATATGAAAGTAGCAGTGGAAAATGAATCTTATAATGCTAACACACGTGGAAATGGACAGATTCGCAGCGGCAAAACTAGTTTGTCTAAGACGAAACAAATAGCGAAATCATTTGATGCAACAACTACTACTACATCTTATCCGAGTACTCTTCTTAATACTCAAGCACTTAACGTGTGTATGTAAATATAATTTTCATGTTTTTCTGCATTGAGAATC